TGCATTAGGGCACTGGGGAAGCAGGTCCAGGGCATGGGGGTTCATCACAGTGGGAGGACAGACACAACCATGGGGTCTGCAGGCCTGGAGGCTGCCCTGGCTGGCAGAGGTGGAGGGCCACGAGGCTGCATCCCTCCTCCCTGGGATGCCAGGTGAGCCTGGAAGACCAAGCCTGCCCTCCTGTACCTGTGATGTGCTGGAGCAGCAGCAACAGGTCTCCTGTTTATAAAAGAAGCCACAACCTTGACGTGCCACTGCATTGCTGCTGTTTCCTCAGCATTTTGCCCGGAAGACCGAGCAAGGCCGAGTGTGGCTGGGGCAAGGGACGCGCACCCTGACATCTGACATGCTGTGGTGGGGGAGTAAGAAAGCAGCCTTTGGGTGTGTATCTGTGCTGCACAGAGGAGGAAGTGGATAAGGATCTGCAGGGTGAAATGTAACAAAATCTGACTTGCTTTGCATATGCAAATGGTGCTGAGGCCCTCCTGACAAGGCTGAAGGGCTCTGCAAAGGAAAGGCACCCAGCTCAGAGATGCAGCGCACCATCAACCAGTAGGATTTTGCTAGTATGAATCCAGCCATGGGCTACAAGAGAGTAGATCCCTTGAGCACTGTTAGCCCAGGGCTTATTCTCCATCTGAAAACTGGTACCTTAGCATGCAGTGCCCTCCCAGCCTTCCCTGGGGGCACTGGGTTTGATGGAGAATCAAGGAACCTGTTGGACATCAGCACCATATTGTGGAGTTTCTATGTGTCCCTGAAATCCTCTTTTCTCTTGGTGAGGACAAGCTTGAGCTTGTGGTGTTTTGGACGTATGGGGAGGTGTAAAGCAGAGCTGAGGGACAGAGAAACTTGCAAAGAGGAGATATGGAGTGATAAAGCCATACACTACTCTCCCACACCTTCCCTTGCATTTCCCAAGCCTTCAAGCCCAGCCCCACTCCGGCTCTGCCAAAAGCCAGGGAGAACTTCCTAAGGATGCAACCTCCACCCTGCTCATGCTGCCCTGGACCCAGGGCTCAGCAGATCGCCGTTGAGAAGCAATTTGGCAGTGCTGAGTGGGCAGAAAACGAGTGGCTAGGTGGGGGGAAGTACGAGAGGATGCTCGGCCAAGGGCTCGGTGGTGGATGGGTGATGGAGGAGAGGTGGCTCTGGACCACCGCCTTCCCAGCACCACCTCGTGGCCGGCTGGGGAAACAGGAAAGGAGGAAAAAAAGCATCTAACTCCAAGCCAGGCGGCAGGAAAGACCTTCAAATGGGATTTTTCTTCTACTTCCCATCTTTACCAGAAGGACTTAGCAAGAAAGCCTTGCCATGAACCATTCTTCCACACTCAGACCCAGCACCTGCTTTTCCTAAGGACGAACGGTGAAGCCAGGATTGATGCCATGAGCACTGCAAAAGGGAAAAACCCAGCAAGACACACTTACCTCTTCACTGTTCAGGATGAGCAG